AAACCTGGCACACATTTCCGACATGCTATGACAATTAGTTGCAACTAATCGGCAACTAAGTTGACAACTAATCGATTTGAAAATTTGACCGATTTGGAACACTACTTTCACTTTAATTTGTTGCAACTGTCATTGGAAATTGTACCAGAGCCTTAGGAGAAATCGACAATGTCGCTATCGCAGTTCAAGACATAGCCCTCTTCAAGTTATAGGTTCTCCATACGAAACCCCTCTTTTGGGCAATGATTGGTTCGAGAAAACCCAAGCAAGGATACATTTTGATGAACAAAAACTCATCATTAGGTATAAAGGCAAACTTACCGAAATACCTACTTCCAACACTAACACCCACAAGTTGTTCTAATTTGAAACTCACAAAAACTTGATGATATGAAAAGTTAGACCATGAAGGTGATGAGCGAAGAGTAGGAATTTCTTTATAAGAATCTATGGAAAGGCTTCTGTTTACTTAATTGATGTCGAGGAAATACTAACTAGTGTTGTAAGATTATTAGTAATAAGATTCTGATGAGGATGGTAAAGAGCACGTTGCGAAATTCGTGAAACAATTTAAGGGAACATTCTTTGATACGTTGTTAGATACTTGATAAAAATCAAGCACGCAGGTTTCACCACGGGCAGGTCACGTATCAACTGCAAAAAATTCTACTTTTTTTAATTAACAATTTGTGCACTACCAATAATTTCTTGAACTTTTAATCTAAAGAAATCCCTCGTGTATACTTCTCCGAAGTTTCCACGAGGGCATGCGCATAAAACTTTTTTTCAATCACATAGTAAATTTTGAAATTTATTCAATATTCAAAACCCAATTGGTATAAAGACCAACTGTGTGATTGTATGACAGTAAATTTTAATTAATAAATAAAAATTTTATTTTAATTTTCCATATTTATTTTTATTAAAAAATTTTCTAATAAAAAAAATCCAGATCTCAAATTCGTTCGATATATAAGCTTATGTTATACGTTTCATATCGCGGATTTGCGGAATTGGGTTTATAATTTAAGGAGTAAATTAACAATAACGTTAGTATCATTATTGTTAATTACCCCTTAAATTATTTTTATGTAATAAAAAACTTACATTAAATAGCAATCGTATACGTATCTTTTACGTACGTACGTACGTAGTCACAAACCCAATTCCGCAAATGTTATTATACGTATATATTTAGTATAAAATAAAATATAATACGTATATATACTATATACTTAATTTTATTTATATTTTATACGCAGCATAATTATATATATTATTTATACGTATATACAGTATAACCGACATTTAACTTAATTATTTTAAAAACAAGCCTTTTTTTACCATATTTCATACGTTTTTTCAAAATTATTGTTTATTAGAAGTACATAAAACCCGTTTTTTATATTGAAAATATTGAAAAAAAACAAGATGTACAAGCGAAATTCGACAACAGCAGGATTTGAACCTGCGCGGGCAGTGCCCATCAGATTTCGAGTCTGACGCCTTAACCACTCGGCCATGTTGTCAATATACTATATTCGAGTCATTTATGATATTAACATTCTATTTATAGTAGAAAAGATATAGAGATATAGTATTGTCATATATAATATATTTACTATAGAATTAAGTCCTATATTAAAAACCGGTTTGACAACATATTAGATTTAGGCATATAATTAAGTTATGGTTTATTAGAACATGTTAAGTGCAATTCTAATTTAGACTAGTCAAATATCAGTTTTTAAAATTATAACGACCAACATTTTTTTTTGACTATATAGTATAAACTCTTCAATGTATACTGTACCCAATATCAAAAGTTTAGAATTAGTGAATGAAATGTAATAAAACCATGTCTTGATTTGACAGTAAACAAAGAATTTCTTTTATTTAAGTTGAGTTTACTAAATAGATCTCGGGTTGTTCAAGTTGAAATAGAACCGGTTTCATAATTTAAATTGTTTAGCTGATTTACTGTGTTAATTTTAAAAACTCACCAAGTTTATAGTTACATTATTGCTTA